AAAAAAAAAAAAAAAAAAAAAAAAGAAAAAAAAAAAACAAAAAACATAAAGATTAGCCAGGCATGGTGGCGGTTGCCTGTAAGCCTAGCTACTCGGGAGGCTGAGGCATGATAATCACTTGAACCCAGGAGGCGAAGGTTACAGTGAGCCGAGATTGCGTCACTGCCCTCCAGCCTGGGCAACAGAGTAAGACTGTCTCAAAAAAGAAAAGGAAGCCTAGTGCGGCTGGAACTGAACATGCATGGAAGTTGGATAGACAAATGGACACAGACTGTGTAGTCTTTTATGCCAGGGTAGAGAGGTCGTAATATGTTCCTATGTGTTCAAAAATGTACCTGGGGTTTTTTGTAATATGGTCTGGTAAGAAACTCAGACATGCAAATGATTACCAGGAAGGAAGAACTTTAAACTCACAGAGTCTTAGAAACAGTAGGCAAAACACATCCTGCAGGGCTATGTGAGAAGCACCAGAGTGGTATAGCAAGAAGAAACAGAGGAGAAAGCAGAGCCCAGATCCTTTATTGCGTTTTCCACAGGAAAAGAAAGGTAGGGCTGGGTAAACAGAAAAGGATTTGCTAGCTTGAATAAAGTTGGTAGGCTTTGGGGTCTAGGGGCTGTCCTTGTCTGCCTAGTACCTGGCCCTGGAGTCATTAGGGCAAAAAGAAATTGTCTCCTGTAAGAGCCAGACAGAGGAGGTGATTCATATTAGGCGAGTCTGGATTTGTTAGTATGCAAATAAAAGACATGGTTCAGAGTGAGTCATTTGCAATCATCAGTTAACTCTAAATGGCAAGGTCCCAAATTCCATAGCATCAAGAATGCAGAAAATAAGAAAATACAGCTCATACACTGTGAAATGCGTAGTCATCATGGGGTTTTGAGCTAAGCTGTGATGTCTTCTGATTTATGTTTTAAAAGGATCACTCTGGGTACTATATGGAGATGAGAATGTGGGAGGGGCAAGAAGGAGAAGTCCTGTTAGGGAGCTCTGGCTGCTTACTGTGCAAGGCGGAGGATAACTTAAGCCAATGTAGTGAGAGGGGAGGTGGTTTACCACCAGGTACAAATAACAGATCAAGGAGAACAATAAGGAATTAAATGGATATGAATATATGGAAAAGTATGAATGGCTTTATGGGATGGATTGTTGTCTCTAAATCTATCCATACCCCACACAAGCTGCTCCAATGACTCAGCATGCTCTTGATGATACTGTTGATATATCTTCTATAAATGTTATACTAAACGTCGATGCTCAGGAAATATGATTGTTTTGCTGTGAGAGTCTAGGCCAAAGCCAGGGCTTGGGTTATACTGGAAAGTGTGAGCTCATCAGGCTTCAGTTGCTCAGATGCTATACATTCTAAAGAAAGGAATGGCCCTTGACCAGCTCCAGGAAGACAATCTCTGAGTTTCTGGAATATTTTACCTGGTAAGAATAATTATTAAGCCTGAGACCATAGGCCTTGATGTATCAATTTGATGAGATGATTTATTCTAAGAACATTGTTACTGAAAAGGGGTCCCAATCCAGACCTCAAGAGGGTTCTTGGATCTCGCACAAGAAAGAATTTGGGGCAAGTCCATAAAGTTAAAGCAAGTTTATTAAGAAAGGAATAAAAATGGCTGCTCCATAGGCAGAACAGTAGTTTGGGCTGCTGGACTAAGGCTACTTACAGTTATTTCTTGATAATGTGCTAAATGAGTGTTGGATTATATGAGTTTTCCAGGAAGGGGGTGAGCAATTCTCAGAACTGAGGGTCCCTCCCCTTTTTAGACCATGTAGGGTAACTTCATGACATTGCCATGGCATTTGTAAACTGTCATGGTGCTGCTGAGAGTGACTTTCAGCAAGCTAATGCATTGTAACTGGTATATAATGAACAGTGAGGGCGACCAGAGGTCACTTGGTTTTGGCCATCTTGGTTTTGGTGGGTTCTGGCAGCTTCTTTACCACAAGCTGTTTTATCAGCAAGGTCTTCGTGACCTCTATTTTGTGCCAACCTCCTGTCTCATCCTGTGACTTAGAATGCCTAAATTCCTGGGAATGCAGCACAGGTTCCAGCCCCTATTCAAGATGGAGTTGCTCTGGTTCAGATGCCTCTGACAATATTACTCATGGTGAATGCCGGATTTTGCATGCCTGAGGCCCTGGGCCACACTATATGTTTGCTTTTTGCAAGGGCTCTATAGCTATGACTATGTAAATGACCCTCCATAAAAACCCCAGAGACGAAGGCTTGAGTCAACTTCCCTGGCTTATAATACCGTGAACATGTTGTCACACATCTTTGCTGGGAGAATTAAGTGTGTCCCTATATGACTGTAATGGGAGATAACACCCAGAGTTTTGTGCC